CACACACTCACACACACACTCTGATGAGGTCACCCCGAGAGAAAGTTAGCTTTTTAAAATTCAATGAACAAAGAGGAAGAATGGCTGCTTATTAAGACCAGTAACTGCAGTATCTTTATTACTATCTGGTTAAATAAGTTATGTTTTTATTACAATGGTGTCGTTATTTTTTACTCTCATTGTTTTGAGACAAGATTTCATTTACCCCAGGGCCTAAACTCTCTGTGTTGACAAGGATGATCTTGTGCTTTAAATGACAGATTTTTGCCAGGTGCATACAGCTAATCTCAGCAAAGGCAATCCAATCTCTGTGTGTCTCAGGCCAGCCTGGTCTACACTGTGAGACCCAGATGCCAGCCAGGGCTACATAGTGAGATCCTGTCTCAGAAACAAATAAATTAATAAATAAATATTCTCCCTAGGTTCAGTTTTTTTTTAATTTTTAAAGATATTTTTATTTGATATCTTTAAATATTTTGTCTGCATGGATGTATGCACACCACATGTGTGCCTGGTGCCTGTAGTGGACAGAAGAGGGTGTTGGATCCCCTGGAACTTGAATTACAGATGGTTGTGAGCCGCCATGTGCATGCTGGGAACAGAACCCAGGTCCTCAGCTGAGCCATCACTCTAGCCCTCTAGCTTCATTAAAATAATAATAATAATAATAATAATAATAATAATAATAATAATAATAATAAAAACGATGATTGTGGAGAGTTTGAAATGAAGACGGTCCATAGCCAAGTTCTCTTTAGCCCTTCCTAACAGCCGTCTCTTGCCCTCCTCAGTTTGTGATCTAATATCTTTGTGCCCATTAGGTAAATCTTCTAGAATGTACAAACGGATCCTACTCTCCACCAGCCAACAGGCCAGGAGTATGTCAGACAGCATCTGAGCCTGGAGCCGAGGTTTCCACAATAGTCACTCTTACTTGGCTCCCAAGTAAACTCTGTCTTGCACCCTTCGAGGTGAGAGTTGTATTTTCACATCTACAGTGCCCTAGACAGGCAGGCAGGCAGGCAGGCGGCAGTTTGCCAGGGATCTGAGGACAACTTAGAGGAAGCAGGGAATTCCATGTCACGTGGTTGGTGAGTGCCCACTTACTTGCTTGCAGCTGGGCTGTCTCTGAGTCAGCTCCAAGGGTGAGGAGGGCAAACATCTACAAAACAAGGTACTTTAGCTGCGAAAAAAACCAAACGATTAGTTTCAGAAACTGTAACAGTCCACCCGAAAATGGTCACAAAACGGCATGGCCCTGCCTGACAGTGTCTTCAAGCCTTTCCCCTCTCTGAAGACATGCTGTTTCCCTCACTCGCTGTTTTCCAGCGCTCCTTCCCAGTACCCACACCCCGAGTTCAGATCTGTCCTCACCAACACACATGGTGTCTTCCTCCCTCCCCCCTGTCAGAGTAGCGGCTTCAGACACGGGGTTCACACTTACCCTGTGAGAGTATTGTAAGCTAGAGCAGACCTTCTGCTAAGCCCCTCAGTGTGTCCAGCAGAGTGAGACATGGTAACAAGTGAGGTCATGGTGACGGAGTTACATGTGGTTAGGAAACATCCAGCTTGGGTGCTGGGGACCAAACTCAGGTCCTCTGCAAAAGCAGTACACTCTCTTAACTACTGAGTCATCTCTCCACCCCCATATTTCCTTTCTTCCTTCCTTCCTTTCTTTCTTTCTTTCTTTCTTTCTTTCTTTCTTTCTTTCTTTCTTTCTTTCTTTCTTTCTTTCTTTCTTTCTCTCTCTCTCTCGCTCTCTCTCCCTCCCTCCCTCCCTCCCTCCCTCCCTTCCTTTCTTTCTTCCTTTCTTTCTTTCTTAAGATTAATTTATTTATTACACATACAGTGTTCGTCTACATGCCAGAAGAGGGCACCAGATCTCATTACAGGTGGTTGTGAGCCACCATGTGGTTGCTGGGGATTGAACTCGGGACCTCTGGAAGAACAGCCAATGCTCTTAACCTCTGAGCCACCTCTCCAGCTCCACCTCCATTTTTTCTTTATGTTTATTTTTCCCACTTAGAAATTTAGCAAAATTCACTCTCTTCAATGTACAGTCCTGAGAGCTTTGTATCTGCT